TTTCTGTAAGTGCGATCCCACTGTGAAAGGCTTATCCGAATGACACTGCTCCATAGTGATGCAGTTGCCACGGATATCGTTCATCAGCATTCTGGCAGATTGGATTATTACAAAGGGTATGCTGGATAAACGGCTAGAAGTGAATTTAAAAAATGATTCTCTTGCAGGAATTTCACGCAATTCTATTCCACCAAATCTGAACGAGATCGAAACCTGCGCAAGGAGTATGATGCTCAGATGGATTACCGAAAGCATCTGCAAGCGTTTATTGATCGATGGAGATACAATGCTAATCGGGGTCAGTAGTGATCTTGATATCTCTATGAAAATATTTCGTGAAATCTTCTACAGCTGCTCAGGCCCAATCTAAAATCAAGATTCTGGAAAAGGTGATGCTTTGACAGAAGACGGAAAGAATCTTTCTGACAGTTCGAGGATGTGTAGCTTCCTGACCTTCAACCGCCTGAAGAGGATGAAACCGAAAACTTCAAGTACATCCAGATCCTCTACTTTCCTTTGCTTGCTTAATTATGCATAACTCAGATTCCCAGAAACGGAGAAGATATCGCCACCTTTATTGCAGATGTCGGAAGTAACGTTTGGATATACACCTGAGAAAATCGTTCTGAAAAACGTCAGTTTTGATGTTGGTTTGGACTCAAGGATAGCCATCGTCGGTGCAAACGGTTCCGGAAAATCCACATTGTGTGTTCTTCATCGCTATCCTGTGGGAAGGTTATCGTTGACCTTTCGAATCTTCATAGGGTCAAAGTATTAACAGGAGAACTCAATCCTTTGGGTGGACAGGTGAATCGAAATGGGCGATTGCGAGTGTAAGCTTGCGGGAATTCGTCCAGAGTTTGGTGAGCTGACTTGCAATTTCTAGAGGATACTTTGCCCAGCATCACGTCGACTCACTTATACCAACAATGACACCGGTTCAATTCCTGGCTTCCAAGTTTCCTGGAAAGACTGAGCAGGAGTATCGTCAACATCTTGGTAATTTCCAAATCAGCGGTATGACAGGGTTAGTCTATTTCTGAAAAATTTCGAGTAACCAGCGTCCCTAACCAAGATATGACCTTAGCCTTCAATTGATCGGTACGTTGAGTGGGGGACAAAAGTCTCGAGTCGCTTTCGCAGTACTTTCGCTTCAAAGACCACACGTTTTACTCCTGGACGAAGTATGTTATTCGCTAGGTCGATCGTTATCGTAGTTAACCATCAACCTAGCCTACCAATCATCTGGATATAGAGGTAAAACCTCCGATGCTAGTTTGCGATGCTTCTTATAACATGAAGAGCAGGGTTTAGACGCTCTCATGGAAGCATTGAACTCATGGACTGGAGGTGTCATCATCATATCGCACGACGAAAGATTTATCACTAATGTCGCTAAAGAGGTAAGCAAATAGACCCAGTATTATTTCTCATCTCTAACATTGACACAGCTATGGGTATGTGTCAATGAGACAGTCAGCAAATTCAAAGGAGATGTCCAGAGCTACAAGGTTTATTCTACGAACTTCCTTCGCCAGACGCCGAATCTCACATATCCCTTTGTTTTCAGAGTTTAATCGTGAGCAACATCAAAATGAAGCCTTAGCTTGTAGACAATGTTTGTATCAATATCATGTGCTCGTCGGGCATGATCATTTTCGGCCAGTTAAATGCCCCTATCAGATTACGAATAGTGTGCTTCAACTACGCTGATTCTTGACCTGCTGGATCGGCCTTCGAGCTTTTCACTTGATGTACGGCGAGAGAATGCTTTCGTCGCCTTCTCTTTCTCACTGTCCTGGTGCTAATATACATCAATCACCTTTAAATCAGTCTAGCCTGTGGTGACTGGTTTGCATATGCTTCGACTGTTACTCCCGAAATTCACTTTAACTTGCTGAACCTCGGACCATGCTCAATTAACCAGTCTAGCCTCTTACAGCTCTCCACGACGGTGTTCAGTCACCGGTGCCATAGAGTGCATCTGCTTCATTGATGCGTGACGGAGACAAAGGTCAGCCTCCTACAATCTTTCAGAGCTAGTTGCTGATCTGCATCTGATAGAAGTGGTTCTGTGAACGATTCTCTTACCAGAACAGCGGCAGCTCAAGGCTTAACAGCATGTTCATTACTACAGGCTCCATTTTAACTTCCTCCCTCTCCATTCGTAGCTTGCTTTTGCCCGAGACCTTAACTCCTCTCGTTTCGAATCTCAATTCCCTTGATTCTTTGCCGTCTACTATGTAGACACCACATGAGTGGCTAGTAAGCTCCCAACTTCGAAACAATCATGGCCTCATCATTACTAGACTTACTAGACTTGACATCTGCAACACCAGATCACCAAATTATAAAAATCGCATTAAAAGCACATCAAATTTCACCGGCACCGTTCAACTCAACACCGCCGCTGTCAATCACGATTGATTCCATTACCCGAAAGTCGAGATCCATCCAACTCGGAATTTCGACTTGGGGTCAACTACTTCGTAAGGCTACACAATGGTTATAGCACACAATCTCCGGACCCGGTCAATACTCGTTTTCGCTTCGTTTCTGACGTCTTTGTCATTTGATCAATCTACACAAATAGACAACACTCATCATTTAACTCGGTAAGTAATTAGCTGCCCATACTTTACTGAGTAAACATGAATAGGCAAGAATCCAGGTGAAAAAACAAGTATATTACGCCGGGTTTTCCGAGTGGCACGGTAAGACTGTAGCATGTGTTCTCATATGTTATAGTGCTATAGTCCATCGAAGGAGCCGTATGGTTTTGTTCCGTTGTGCTCGACAGCACTGCGGTGGCTCTCAAATCGAATTTGGAATTGAACGTTTTGTCATTTTCCGTGGCCAGTACAATACAGAGAATAAGTTATCTAAGGACGCGGTATAAAAATGAAGGGATATCTATCTTCTTTCTTCAGTTGTCCTTCTCTTCGAGACCTGCAAGTTACAAAAAGCCTTTTGCCTTGGACAATAACTCGTCAATTGACACAATGATGAAGCTCTCTCTCATTCTCTCTGCCCTGGCTTCTGCCTCGACCTTGGTCTCTGCGCAACATGCGGTGAGCTTCCCTCTCTTTCCCTCCTTCCCTCAATTGGAATCTTACGCACCCCCTTCCGTCCGCCCCTCTCCAGTTCACCCTCGTCAATAAATGTGGCTCGTCCATTACTCCCATTGTCGCGAACACCGCTTGCGGCTACAGTCCTCGTGCGTGCATTGTCATTCTAAGTGCTTCAAATACCATCATTACCTGACCTCCCATCCGTATGCCCTTCTAGGCTGCTCCGGCGCTGGTTACTACAGTGAGTACGACGACTTGAAATCCTTCACGTCCCTTCTGACCGACTCCTCTTTTCCCCATCCTCTCTTGACTGCGCATAATTGAATGAATAGCTGCCGCTCAACCTGGTGTTCTCGGTGCCGGAGCCAGCGAGACGATCACCATCCCTGTTGACGTACGTGTCGTCCATTCACATCGCTCAAAAAGATTTCCTTACTTACTTCACTCACTCTTACGCGCTCGCACGTCTATCTCCTCAATCCGGGACCATACAGTGGGTCGGTCGTATCTTTGCCCAAGACGGTGCATGCGGTGCTAGCGGTGAAGACTGTACGATAACTGAATTCAACCTGGGTACGTATCTCACTCCTGTCCTTATTATACCTTTGCGTTAATAAAACACTTCATCCTCCTCATCTCATTTTGACCATTTACCTCTTCTTATTATTGCATCGTCATTTACAACTTCTATGTACTTGCCTTACGCCAACAGACACCGGCGACTTCTACACCCCCCAAGCATACGACATTTCCAACATCCAAGGATTCACCCAATCCATCCAAATCGCCGCTGCAGGATGTGACACGGTAACTTGTACGAATGTGAACTGTGGTGTGAGTATACAATATATTTCCCTCTCACATCTAGTTCCTGCTGCCATTCACCCCCTCCCCGCTCACTTCCACTCGCTGAAAAGTCTTGTTGTTCCATGTGCTAACCTCTCTTTCCTCTTTACTTCCTAGTGCGACGAAGCTTATCCCGTTGGCGTAAGTCGTTTCAACTACTCAAGTCTCTCCTGCTCACTATCATACTCTTTCTTTCTTTGGCTTCATAACAGGACACAACCGGTTGCGGTGACGACTCCCCGGTTCGTGCTTGCGGCGCTGGAAATATCGCTTTCACTATCACTTTCTGCCCCTAAGACCTAAAAGTTTCAAATTGCTTGCAGGCTTGATTTAATCTATCGAATAATGTAGTAGTTCGAAAAACGCTGTAAAATTGCAATTATAGCTGAGGAAACTCGCATAAATCTATCCAGTTTGTTTTCGAGAGAGAGATGTGTTTTGATTATCGGGTTCCATATACTTCATCATGCTTGCCTTCCATGTTGCTTCAAATGCTGATACTAAACAAAATGATAGCATTCATTGTCCTGGATGAGAAAAAATCAACAAAAGAAAGAGTTTTGGACTCGTTAGTGACCACCGCAGGGGTCGAACCTGCAATCTCCTGATTCGTAGTCAGACGCGATGCCATTTCGCCAGGCGGCCCCGGTAAAATTACCCAATAAGTCAGTCTCTATATCAGAGTATATAGGAAGATCTGTAATATATTAGTTAGTTGTTTGGCTGGGCTTTAGCCCCGCGCGGGTGGGTAGATGAATTATGAATTTTACACGCACGGGAACTAAAGATGTAGCGTACAGCTGGAGGAGTGGTACCTAAATAGGAGTGGGTGGGTGGGAATCAGAAAATTGTATTTGAAAATTTTCGAGCGACGGCGGTAGGAGTCGGGAGCAAAGGAATAGATAAGCGCCTGACAGGCGCCAATGGACCGCCTTTGCTGACTTATCCTATGATAAGCAGTCTTTGTCATCTTATCTCGGACAAATAATTAGTATATCAAGGGGAATCATAAAATTTTATAGACTCCGTGGCGAATCACTTTAGTAACTATTATATATAACTATATAGCAATATTTACCAGAAACACCGTTGGTGAAGTGGTTATCATGCTTGCCTTCCATGTTCATATCATTGCTGAATATGAAGCAAGCGGCTCGGGTTCGATTCCCGAACGGTGTATAACATATTTCTCATTGTCTATTTTATTTTATTTTGTTTATTTTAATCTTTTTTTTTGGAAACAATTGACAAAGAGATGGAAGAAAGGTTACGCTCAAGCTGGCTTTTCCCCTTGAGCTTGTGATTCTTACCCAACCTCCTTCACGTACCTAGTCAATGGTCTCTACGGTCTACTGTGACCACAAGCTTTAGCTTTTTGTTATCAATGTTACCCTTCGTTGTAATAACAGATACGGAATTTGGTATAGTAAACCATACTATAAAAAAGGTCAAAGCAGCAGCCACCAGTACACACATCAATAAGTCCAATAGTCCAACATTATGTATATTTAAAGACATACAAGTGTAACAAGGCAACTATGCAACCCATAGTTCGTATCGTGTCACAGAAAAAAAAAAAGCTAAAATCTCGAATTCGGACTAGGATTGTACTTTTTCCCTCCCACCAACTACTACATAATCACACACTTCTCATCCTCAGCCTTCGCACCTGTGATTCCCATCTCAGCAAACGTTTGAGGACCAGCTGATTTCTGTGCTCCCTGTGCTCCCGGTGCACCTAAACCAGTAGCAGGCGATTCAGGCCTCGACCCCGTCCCCGTGCCCGTGTCCGCCCCTGAAACCCCTCCAGAAACCTGTACCCCCCCACTCGGTCCTCGCCTCGGCGGTGGCCTCCCTCCTCCTCCAGCACGAGAAGGCGACCTCGAGTCAGGTCTCTGACCATTATTAACATTCCCAACCCCTTCTGTACGCGGGGGTGCCGAGCCAGAGCCAGGATCAACGAGGGTATACCTATTCGCGTTGGGGTATGACTGGGATTGGGATTGTTGTCTTGCCGCTTCGGGTCTTAGACCAACGCCAGGTCCTACTCCTCCTGGACCTACGCCTACACTTCCTCCGCCTGGACCTACTTTCATTCCCTGCGGTCCCTGTCCATGAGTTCCCTGAGGAGGCAATGTACTCGCGTGTGCTGGCTGTCCCGGATACGTAGGACCAGGTCCTTGGTCAGTATGATACCTCCCATGTCCACCTTGCGGTTGTTGTTGGTAACTCCCCAATGTATTCTTCCTAATCAACTCGACTACAGGTCTTGAATCTCGTCTGTTTCCTCTTCCGCCTTGGGCTCCTTGTCCGCCGGGGGGTGGCATACCTCCCCCAAATCCTCCTAATACTTGACTCGGCCCTCCAGGCCCCGGATACCCCGGAGGCTGCTGCTGCAGACCTCCCTGTTGCAGACCACCTTGATTCTGGTTCACCTGCTGTCCCTGCCCAGCCAAATACCCATCCCTAACCTTCTGCGCCTCACTCCTCTGCTTCGCCTGAGTCCTCGTCCTCACCAACTTGCTCTCCGTAATCGTATCATGTTCTTCCCTCGAAAGCATCTGCGGACTTGGTTTTTCAAGTGCAGCGAGACGGTCAATGGCGTCTGTGTTTCCGTGTATTTGGGCCTAGGGGGGAGCACACGAACAAGCACGAACAAGTCAGCACTTGAGAACGAAATTAATCGCTCTCTTTCTCTCACCTTTTGATACCACCCTTTTGCTTCTTCCAAGTCTTTCCCTCCTCCTATACCCACCTCACAGTAATACCCCATTGCAAACTCGGCGCTGGGTAATCCTTTCCGTGCAGCTTTTTCAGCAAAGATCTTCGCGAGCTGTTCGTCCTTGTCGAATCCTCCGAGTGAAGGATCAGTGTTTGCTCCAGCTGGAATTTAACATTCATAATGAGAAGTAAAGAAAAAGGGGAAGATAGTTTACCTGGACCGCCAACTCGACTGCCACATAAAAACCACTTTGAAAGAGCCATATCAGCCTCGGTCTCTCCCTGTTGACTCGCTCTCGAATACCACTCGACACTCAACAACGCATCAAACTCGAACGGCGGCGTCGCAAATTCATATGCATGTCCTAGTTTGTACTGCGCCGGTGAAAAATGTAGATAGGCGGAATGCGTCAAGTGGGTTTTTGCTTCGAGCAGTAACCTGATAACAATGAGAAAAACGTATTATTAGAAAAAAACAGCATACCCTTGACTTCCCATATGCGCATACTCCGAACTAACCAACCCCAACCTGAAAAACACATCCTCCGGTACCTTAATCTGACTAAATTCTCCAAGCAACACCAACGCATATACATATGCCGGCTGAGGCGTCTCAACCGTCGACCCCACCGCAGCCCTCTTCAACACTCCCAACCCCCCATCGACATCAACACTGAACCCTAACTGGCCAAGCAACTGCGCCATAGCCATCCTATACAAACACGCTCCTACTCCTAGCCTTACCCCTCTCTGAAAACACTCCTTTGCATGCACGAGATCACCAAAGGACTCGTAGTCTCTTCCAATCCGGAACCATGCCTGCCCGTATCCAGCCCGTGCGGCACTTTCGTAGTCCCTGAACGCCTGACGGGGATTGCGCTGGGCGAATTCGGGGAAGGAACCAGAGGCGAGGAGAGAGGCGCGGTGGAAGAGGGCTTCGGATACATGAGGAGCTGTCGGTGTAGTCGTGGTTGAGAACGTGGATGCGATGTCGAGGATCATTGGCACTGCGACTTGTGCGAGTTTCAATAACGCTCCGTCGTGTATCTCCACTGGACCATTCGGTGGATCGCCTATGGGTGAATTAGTGGCCATCGCATGTGCCCTCTCGACGAGGAACATCACATCCCTCGCCCAAGCTACCTTGAGCGCTGGATCGTGTTTCGGTAACTGAATGGTGCTCATTGCGGACTGGAGAGCAGGTATTGTAGGTAGAGGAGCTGTGAGCGATGTCGATGTCGGTTCATGTGTGTTTGTAGGATGAGTGATGTGTTGTGAAATCGTCGGTGAAGGTGATACCGCTCGATGGGCTTGATGTACTGGACTGTAATAACTCTCAGGCGGGTTGAAACCCAGATTCGAATTCGGATTTGGATTGGGATAAGGCAAGGTCGGCGCAGGAGACAACGATGGATGAGGTGGTGTAGGTAACGCAGGCGACCAAGTTGACCATTGTTGTTGTCCTCCTCCCGGTGGTTGAGGCGATCTGGATGGATGAGGGATACTAAACCCACCAGGATTGTACCCTCCATTATTATTATTATATCTACCTCTTAATTGTTCGTCTAAATTCCTAGCCATCTATACGAAACTCAACCGCCAACTCTCTTATACATATTCAAAGGCCTACTCACATTCGCAGGGATGTCAGGATCCACCTTTTGAGGTATTGGTGCTGCCAATGGATCTTCTAGATGAGGCGCGCTTCCTCCGTCGGGTGTCACTAATAGTGATGGTGGTGGAAGTCCTGGGTTCGTTCCCGCGTTGGAAGAAGAAAAAAACTGGACACCCGAAGGTAGTGGTGGTGGTGGTGGTGGTACAGAAAAAGAACTCATAGTATTTATCACTTTTTGATCAGCCAGCTGGCAGTGATCAAACCTCTGGTCGTTGTGCGATGTTTTCATTTAACATGTATTATATGTTCGGGTAATATCCTTCACCGCCTCCAGCTCCCGGGTCCCCCGCTCAAAGTACAGCTTCACCCAGCCTCGTGAAATCCCTTTGGTTGCTACCGTCAAAGCAACACGGAGAACAGCCGCTGTCGATACATTTATATTTCAATATATCATTTCATCATATCGCTCATTACTAGCTTATCGGAGTCATCGATTCATCGATTCATCGTATCAATTTTATCATAAGTATCTGGCTCCACCGTCGACAACGGGCTTTGTTATCATCATTTTTGCTGATAAGCAGGCAAGAAAGTCCGAAAAATCTCTGCACTCCCACCTCTTACTCGTACTTATGCCCAGTAACTACGACGATGCTGACCTCACCGGCCATGTCAGGTCGGACATTGTCATGCTTTCCAGTAAGCTCAATGGTCAACAAACACATGTCTCCGCCCTTGAACACAACAGAAATGACGAAAAACTCACCCTCCTAACCCACATCTCTGCTCTCCTCAACACTGGGGATGATAATGCACCCTTGGCCCACTCCATTCATGCTGTTTATGGAAGATTGACACCGGCCACACTCGAATGTCTAGTTTGCTCTGATGTTCCTCAAACAGAACAGGAGACAAAGGGAATGCAGACAACTCCTGCACTACCTGATCCTGGACATTTGACAAGCATTCCTGATGCTGGAGATGCAATACGGGGAAGTCAATTGCTAGATAAATGGGACAAAGCTGAGTGAGTTTTTCAAATCTTTTTATTTGATTTCAAAATTTAACTGTACATAGCCAACGCAACTATTCTTTGAAGGATCATCTCCGGGATGTTTTTCAAGTCCTTTCTTATCTCAAACCTTCCTCAGCTGCTGAATCACTAGAAGCCTTTAGCTTCTTTATCCATCGTCGGGCTTTTCGGAAACTTGGCTGGTGCATCAAAGAATTTCTCACTTACTTAAATGATTCACCTTTTACAGTTCTGAAAACTGTAGACTTTACAAGTATCTCCGCCCAACAGTTTGCCATCCCCTTCACTCCGGCTGAGTATGTCCTCCTCCAGCTGAGTGAGTTCCCACTGGGAGATAAAAGACCCATTACACTCTCCATCAATTCTGATAATGTGAAGGATTGGCTTGATGGTTTTCAGCGGCTTTTCATTTTCCTACAGGGCTTTTTCCCTTGTCCTTGTGAAGAGCCAACATATGCTCTTCCAACAAGAGAAGCAGTCTTAGGTGGAGTGGGCTCAATCCAGCTGATAATGAAGCTAAAACCTGTTCTGAAACACATTCTATTGGTATCTGGAGTGGAGAGTACTCTCCTTCATGCCAGTAGGTGATACTAGCATGTTGAATGCAGATGCTGACTCATTTTCAGTGATTGCTGCCAGACAAAAGAAGCCTCATCATCATCAAAAGATCTTTGAAGCCTTCCAATTTCCCACAACTTCTCAGGCTTCTGGGGAAAAGCAACCTGATAACAATCAAGCTACCAACACAAAAAATATGTCTGCTGCTGGAGATGTGAAAGATATGTTTGCCACTAAAGACATGGAAGACAC